ACTCTGTATCGTTCCAATTTTTACGGATGTCCCGAAGGACAGTCCTGAATTCTCATCGTAGAGAGGAAAAGGAAAACAAAAAAAGAATGTCTCATCCTCGAGAGAAAAATTCTGGTTTGAGCGAGTGTGTTAGCGAGGGTGTTATATTGACTACCTTCTTCCCCCGAATACAACGTGCGGTCATTATAGCTGTATCTAGACGGAAATATGCTTCAAATACAGCTATAATGACCGTACGTTGTATTCGGGTGAAGAAGGTATAAAGGATGAATTTAGCAGCAATTCGCTTTTAGCCGGTTTTTGCAGACGGGGTTCCCCGTATGCCTACAATTAGGAGTAGTGGTAGGTAGGTAGTGTGAGGTGAAATTCAGAGAAGAATGTAGCTTCTTTTTTTTTTTTTTTTTTTTTTTTTTATAGAGAAAATAAAAGTAATCACTCGTGTGCCCTCCATTGAGTTTTTTTTTTTTTAATCTCCGGTCCACCACTTCTGGTCGCTACGGTCTTTTTGCCTTTCGGCCTGGCTCCATTAGCCAACACTCTACACGCATATGCACGCTTTCTGGACCAGGTGCATTCGGATGAGTCCAACATTTTGATTGCATCGGGTCCCGAAGGTGACCAAATGAATGTAGAGTGTTTTGTAGTGGAGCGAGACCCTATCTCTCCGTCTCGGTCGTCTCCTCCTGTAACTCAGGGCCTCGGTCCACCACTTTCCACATGCACGGACGACAAAAACTATGGGAATGTATCTTTCCATGTTCTAGCGGAGGATTCATTCTCATTTTTTTGCACATTTGGACAGTAGTGGAGCGAGGCCCTTAGTCGCTCATGTGAATATGCTGTCATTCATTTGACTCGGACGCTTCACCCCCTGGGGCGAGGTCCCACTAGCAAAGAGGATCGTATCGAACACCTGAATCTGGACTTGTTTGTGGACAGGTGCAGAATGTCGAGATTGAACTGCTTTTCCGCTTCTCTGGTTAAAACACGTCCAGATGCAGGATATTTATCCAACCCTCTTTGCCAGTGGGACCTCACCCCTGGGCTTGAACGGATCGAACGAAGGTCCATTTCTGCAAGCCGAGCTCAAACTATGACGTGCATAATTCATCCACATTTTTATCTCATATTAGAAATGCTGTCAAATAAGAGAGCAACCGGACCGCCCGGGTCAGGTCCAAGAAGGTCCCTGCAAAAGAAAAAGGAATCCAAAAAATCTGAAAAAAGACTATGTTATGCAGAAAAATAAACTGATTAAAAAAGAATAATAATAAAAAAATTGGACAGCTTTTTTTTTTCTTTTTTTTTTTAATAACTGGGCAACTTTTGGTTCAGGGTCGAATACAAATTCCTTAACAAATTAAAGCTAAACAATATGCGGAAGGGTGTCTAACATTTCCTCAGATAAAACAATATGTGGAAGGGTGTCTAACATCCCTATCACCCAGATGTACGTTGTCCTTTCTGTTCCCAAGGACGTTATCAGAACTGCATGATGCCGCACTGTGACGAATGTCCTGCTGTCTTCTTGACGTGTGGGCAACATGTCCTCTGTCAGGATTGTTTCGATGGGATGGTTCGTGCTAGCCGTCCGGCTGAATGCTGTGCTAGCGCAACCCTCCTTGGGCATCCCTGTGAACATCCCCGTCATCCTCACCGCATCTGCCGAGGGGGTGACAGATAAAGTTTAGAAGAAACAAATACAAAAAGAAACCAAGTAAAAAGATAAATAAATAAATAAATAAATAAATAAAGCAACCAAGGAAAAAGACAAAAAAAGAAACCTGAGAAAAAAGAAAGAAGAAAAATGAAAAATATGTTCTGTGGGATGGTAATTGGATTATCTGTGGGATGTGTCACTTGCTTTGTCTGTTTAATAGGCTTTCTTCTTCTGTGAGGTTTGGTTTCCTCCGCCTTTTCTTTACCTCTTTGCCTTTTGGCTGCGTGCAAGTGGGTCTTTGTGACACACGGGGATGGGGCCAGCCAGCGCTCAACCTGTCATCCACGTGGCTGGCCTTGTACGTAAGAGGTTATGAACAGGCGGAGCTTTCCTTGCCTCTTCTTTTCCTTTCTCTTTTCTCTTCCTTTCT